GTTGTGAGGGCCCGGAGCAGCGGGGGGGGGCGGGCAGAGCCGTCCCGCAGCCCGCGCTCAGCGCCTCTCCGCGGTGAGAGCTGCTCTCGAGTCCTCCGGCCACATCTCCCTGCCTTTTGTGGCAATATGCCTGTCACGAGCTTTTCGTGCTGTATCGTAACATGCCGATAGACGGTGTCTTGCTGCTCTGTGCATCGCGGCGGAAGCTCGGCCAGGGCTTCAGCCCAGTTGCTCCTGACACGGCTGCGTCCTGTCAGCTCTGTTCACTGCTTCGTTTCTGTGTTGTGCAGTAAGAAGTGCCGGTTGTCCTCAGGTACGGCTTTTTGTGGTTAATGTGATTCTTTAATGAATTAAACGTTCTGTAAGATTAGAGATGAGGGTTTTTTCCTCCTGTAGACTGGGCAGAACTTGTGTTGTATAGAGGCTGACTTGTGAGTTCAGAGAGCTGTGGGAATTGCTAGTGAAAGATCTTTTTCTTAGAATCAGATCCAGTATCTTTCTTTTCTTTCTTTTGTTTTTTTTTTTTTGTTTGTTTGTTTTTTTTTTTAATTAACGGAGCTCCTTACTTTTTAGTCTTTGTACATGCTTACATAAAATTTGGCCAAAACAAGGCCAGCTCTTGCTGTGGGTACCTGTCATGTTTGGAAGCCATCGCAATTCTCAGTGCGATCATCTGTTTCTCACTTTTTTCTTAATCCTAAGAAAATCCAGACAGGTTCAAACCAGAACATATTTGTTGTTTTATCCACCTTTAAGCAAATATTGAGATGATCTGAACTGCTGCTATTCAGCTGACCTGGATCCCCTGTTTGTCATAGAGGAGTAGAAATAGGTATCGTGAACAGAAATAGAAAATACGTGTTGTGTTGTCAAGTTACATTATGCTTTTAACGTAAACCCCTTGCGTTCCAAATGCACCTGCTAACCTCTCAACTTCAAGAATATCTACTATATTATTTCAGAACCTTCCAGCTACAGAAGTTCATACTTGTTCCCGGTTTTCCCTTTTATCTTCTCCAGGCCCCAATCCTGCAAAGACTTCTGTCCATGATCATCTCTGTACCCTGGGTAAGACTGTAAATTTCATTATCTCACTAAGTATTAGCCATATTGTGATATGCTGGTCCCCCCCAAAAAAGCTAGTTTTAAACATGTTTGCAGAACTGTAGAAGTTGACAAAGTGAATTTTGCAGAAGACAGCTTCTGGAACTACTGCAAAATTTCTTTTTAATTCCTGCTATATTCACTGTATCTAACTGCTTCTGGCTACTAAAGAATTTACGAAGACAGAAAACCTCAGAAAATATAGAGAAATAGTACTGGCTAATGATGATCAGCTTGGTAAGTGAGTGCTATTAGTATCAGTAAGTTTCGATACTGACTTAAGTTTTTAATTTTCCTTTTGCAGGACAAGTTCTAAGGAAGGAGAAGTACAGAAATAAATCCCTCACCTTTTTCCCTGCCTTGTACACCATTTTACATATGGCAGGCATGTATAATTCCCAAAGCATGGAAAAGCACATCTAAACGTAATTTGTCAGCACAATTTCGTATTTGTTTTAAATTTTTGTCAGCAGCTGCAGATAACATATTATTTTGGAAAAGAGAAAATAATTTAATTAATTTAGCTTTTCAGATTTTATGTGCTTTTACATCAAATATGTCTCTGAGAATCTGAAATAGAATTCAGCAATACAAAATGCAGAAGGCTTTTACTGTAAAATTAGACTTTCGAGTCATGATTTAAATGAGGAATTGGTGCTGACTGCACAAGTTTCTGCGGAGTGTTCCATTAGGAACAGACATTTTAAAAGTAATTTCCCAAATCCAGTTCGATTAAGACAGACTAAATGCCAGACTCGCTGTACTAGAGCAAATCAAAGGCTGAGAAAACAGTAGCTGAGCAAGGCAGGAAGATAGATGAGATGATTTCTTGAGCTTTCTCCAGACCTGTTTTCTGGCCTGTTTGGATCCCTTCCTCTTGTAAGAGAGCAGGTTTCATTGTCTTCAGGCCTGCAGCTTTATATTTTTCATCCTGCCAAAGTTACTTGCTGTGAACAGGGAATTACACTGCTTGTCACAGCCAAGACTTAACCTTTCCTGGGCAAATGCAAACCATTCACAGGAGTGGGGTGTTCCCTCCCTTCAACAGGGAAACAGAAATTTCTTTGCAGCTTCTTATCAAAATGTTGATTGTCCATGTCCTCTATCTTTCATCTTAACAAAGGTGACTTTGTCTCCTAGTGGAGACACTTCTCAGGTGGAGTCTCAGTTCTACACAGCACTTCTCTTATATGCAGGACAGGAAAGGACTTTACATGGCTCTTGCAGGTTGGCTTCCAGCATCAGAGGAGGGAGATTACAGTATTTTGGCTGGAGTGCTCACCTTCAAGACTTCACTTTGTTCCTCGCAACTTGGAGGGATATGAAGCCAATTGGAAAAGTGCTTTGTGCTACAGGGATCATAGCTGGGCTCCTAGCTTTCTTCTGGAAAGACCCTTTTAACCCAGGTAGGCTCACCGGGGGGGTCATTCCAAACTGGAATATAAGTCACGTAAGAGAAGAGGTTGAATTTCCAAACTCTGACTGGTGGTCTCATTCCTGCCCATAGTCTTACCAGAGCTGGTGGCCTCAAAGGAATGCTTCATTCCTAGGAATAAAGGGAAGCTTGAAACAAAGAGGAAGACAAAATGGTCTAACAGCATTTACAAGGAATCCTGCTGTCTATGTGGGGAAAATATGACATGTTCTTTGCCACTGCCTTTCTCTTTTTTTGTTTTGATTGCAAACTCCCTGGGGTCAAGAACCATCTCTATAGATGTGCAGTGCCCAGCACAAGAGGGCTGACATGTTTCCAAACTGATGGCAAAGGATAAATGATATGCAGAAGGCAGGAGGCCCAGAGCCTGGTTTATTTTGTACAACTTTTTATAATGTGAAAACCAACTTCATCCTTGAAAGATACTGGTCTAGGAACCCAGGCAAAGGGCATGTGACACAGGGCGGAATCATATCATTATTCCCTGGCAGTGATAGCCTAGACATAATGTCCACAACGAACACGCAGTAATAAAGCAATGCACCTCTTGGGCAGTTGGGCCTGGGGTTGTTCCATGGCAACTGAGCTCTGCCAGCTGCACGCTTTTATCCATTGTCCAACTCCATGGAAGAATGCTGAGCTGGGAAGGAGGAATGGGATTGGTGAAGCAAGGCTTGGCTGTTTGGTTTCTAGTATGCCAGCTGCTGTCTGAGTGAAGTGGATCAGACTGAGCCTCCTGCTCCATGACTGAAGTATGAACCTGGAGGTACGTCAGGATGGAGGAGGGAACTGGCTGTTGCATGTTAGTGGAGCTAGGCCAAGCTGACTGCCATGTACTGGAGATTGTTGAGCTGGCTAAGCCTTCCTATGACCCAGACCAAATCAGATCGATATGGCTGGCTACTTGACGTAAGGTGGCTGATGACTAACCTTTTTGTTGTAGGCATCTGTCAGAACAGAAAAATAGCCCATTCCTCAAAGATTAGATGATTTTTTTATTACTATTATTCTCTGTCTAGCAAGGTTTGGAGGTTATTGTTAATCTCATGGCTTCTTCAGGTCAGTCCTGCCTCTTCTAATTTTGGAGAAGTATCAAGACTTTTGAGCACTTACACATACCTTTCTACTTTAGAGCTCTGCCAATGGTTAAGGGCAGCTCCTCTGCCGCTTCCTTCACTTACCTCTGTATCTTTTATTCTCTTTCCCATAAATAAGAGAGCTTGTCTGGTGCCCGCGTTCTCTTGACTGGAGCCAGTGCTGGGATTGGAGAGCAGATGGCATATCATTATGCCAGATTTGGTGCTGAAATTGTTTTGACTGCTAGGAGGGAAGCTGTGCTGCAGAAGGTAAGAACTTCCCTGTATGAGGGAAGACATAAGAGATTTGGACTTTTACCAAAAAAACAACAACAGATTAGTTGTTGACATGATAAATTTTCCTTCAGAACCGTTGTTGAACAAAACCAGCTTAGTTACTTTCGCAATTCTTTCCACTTACGTAGAAAGATGGAACATGCCAGTGACATGGTTTGAGCCTGATTTGCTGGCAGTGTCCTGTGCCATTCTTCCCTGTAACTGATCTCCTGGAAGGACTACTTTGTGTTGCCATACACCAGTGCCTGCTGCAATATGCCCAGTTTTTCTTACCAGAAGGCAGTAACACTGCATAATGGGGAGGTGTTACCCAGAAGGGAGCTTGACCTGTACAGGGCGATGCATATACACTGCCTGAACTTTTTACTGCCTGAACATTTGCACGAGGAAATGGTATGAAGCTGCATCAGGGGAAGTTCACATTGGACATTAGGAAAACGTTCTTCACTGAGAGGGTGGTCAGTCACTGGAACAGGCTCCCCGGGAAGAAGCAGTCACAGCATCAAGCCTGTCAGAGTTCAAGGAGAGTCTGGATGATGCTGTTAGTCATATGGTTTAGTTTTAGGTAGCCTACAACAAGCAGGGAGTTGAACTCAATGATCCTTAGGGGTCTGTTCCAAACTCGAGATTATTCTATGAGTCTATGAACTACAATTCCTGTGCAATAGTGTGCAGAGTCCAAACAGTTCTATTTGTAGCTGTTTTGTTAAAGAGTCAAACGTTTTTGTAGGTTAAATTATTTTTGACCAGCTTGAATAGATGAGACTCCTTTATCTGTAGTTTATAAAATGGGACAATATTTAGAGAAGGTATCTCTTAAATTGTGGGGATAGATGACTTGCAAGGAAAATTCTTCACTATAAAATGGCACAAAAGAAGAATTGGAGGCAGTGAGCATAAGAATAGTTCCTAATGCCTGGAAGGCATTATTTCAGCAAATAGGTAACTGTGTGTCATTAATGGGCACCTTCACATACTCAGCATAGCAAAGGAACTTTGAAAGGTGAATATCGCTAGAGCCTTACCAGGTATTTTGGAACAAAAAGAAGAACTTTATGTAAAGCATAACCATTATTCCAGAAGAGTTCTCCTGAAGAAGACTGTCTTTTTCGGGCGAATCTTGATCCTTTTCCAAGGTAGATTGAATCTGCATCCTGCTAAGAGTTACCTCTATTTAACTGTCTGATTAAACAAAGTCTGGATGCAAAATGAGCTCTGCATGGGCTGAATAGTGGTAGATTTAAAATTAAAGTTTATCTCTGTCCAGAATAGACTCTCACTGACTGTAGTATGGGGAAAAAACAGTGCCTTACAGTGCTCTTACTTCTATTCTTCACACACACACTCCCCCCGCTCCCCATATTGTTTAATCTTTGGGTATGTGTTCTTTTTCAAGGTGGTGGAGAAATGCCTGACACTTGGAGCAAAGAAAATATTTTATATCCCTGCAGATATGTCTTCCCCTTCAGAGCCTGAAAAGGTGGTTCAGTTTGCTGTCCAAAAGCTGGGTAAGCATCTTGGGTATCTCTTTGACTTTCAGGTATATACACAGTTCTCATTCCAGTAGGAGCTTCCTGCTTCATTTTCCCCATGTTCCTTACTGAGAGGGATGTTTAGGATGGGAGGATGTGGGTTTGTAAATACCAATCTGGATGTGGCCGTCTTTTTAGCTGCCTTTCATGGGGAGGGCATGTCTTTTGCTAGAGGAGAAAAGTATGCAGAAAATACTTGCTCGCAGTACTTCACTAAAACCTCACCCCATAGCAACAGCTGCAGTACTTCACCTGTCACAGGGTACCACATGTACATGCATTTGCCACACGTGAGTGGGTACCAGCTGCACACCCCCAACCCTAAACATAGTGCCTTGTGTTGAGAAAGACAGAAACTGGACAGTCTGAAAGCAGTGACTTGCCCTTATAGCAAAGCTCGGTCCAAGATTGTGTAGAAGGGGAAGGGGGTCTTATTTTAACCAGAACCACTTCACATTACTCCCATTGTCATGCATTCGCATTCACCCATTCTTTAGTACTCACTAGCAACAAGATGTGTATGACCAAGTACCTTGGCCAAGCTTATTTGTGGTGATACAAAGGAGATGGGATGCCCATTGTTGAGTCCTCATCATGTCTTCTGAGTTCTTGGTTGGTGACCACGTGCTGCTTTTTGATTGTCTTTTGTGCCCTGGAGGAGTTGAGTGATTATGATCCTTTGCCTCTCCATCTTGTCTCATTTGGGTCAGGCAGCATTTTCTATTATACTCACTATCCTTTTGTCCATTATTTGAGTGTCTTAATTACTTCGTTACGCTCTTGGTTTTCCTGATGTGGGTGTCTTAAGAAACTATGTGTAAGCATGCTGTGATACAGATGACCTGCCAGTCCAGCAGCCATCAATTCATACCTTTCTTTTGAACCTTCTGCTGTTTCTGCTCATACATTTCCATACCAATCATAATTTGTATACTTACAACTTTGAAAAGGGAGTGTACCACCAGAACTAAGTTCCAAGTCTGCATTACCCTGAAACATCATTTTGGAGAGCTGCTGTCAAAGAACAGCTTTCCTTCCAATTCTACCCTTGAGGAGCAGGCAAAGCTGCTCCCAGATGGACATATTTCATGTATCCTCATGGTAAAGCACTTCCTAGCCTTCTAAGGGAGTGACTGATTCATTCAGCCCTCCTGCTGGCATTTCTGAGTTCCTTGGTTACTGGTTAGGGCATGGCCCCTTTGTTTGACTGCTTTTTCTCCTATCCACAGGGGGACTGGATTACCTGGTGTTAAACCACATTGGCGTGACCCGTTTCCAGATGTGGGCTGGAGATATGGAATACACCCGCTGGCTCATGCAGGTGAGGTTTCCCAGCAGGAAGAGTTCACCTGGAATTGAATCCCAAGCTTCTCCTGGGACAGCTTTGGGAAGCTCAAAGGCAAATTCAAGTCTATGGCAATGGTTGAGAACAAACCTTTTATTTCATTTGTGTTTCAAGTCAAACCGTTTGGAGGCTTTGTTACTAGACACGTGTTTTGCTCAGTTGTTTTATATGTATGCAGAGGAATGTCTGGGAGGAACTTCACTTCTTTCCTTCTTTCTGTCCTTCTTATCTCCCATTAGCCCAGGACTGTTAGGGATTGATGGGTCATTACGGGCAGGTATGTATGTCTAGTTTAGGAAGCCCAATAGGTGAGGAGCAAGCACTTCCTACTAATCTATAACAAGTGCACCTGTCATTGCAGAACACAATAAAGTTGTTTGGAATGGTGTTTGCCTTTTAAGTCTCTGCTCACAGATTCAAGAGTTTTCCTATAGAATCACCTTGGTACCAGGTTTTGGGGCCATGGAGATGAAGAGCTGTTTTCTTGATTCAGTATTCTCAGGTGAGTTATATTAGTTCTATTTCATGTTGGAAGGAGCCTCTTTGCTGGAGAGTAGGGAACTTGGGATCACAGGTAGAAAATTTCTTAAAAGTGAGAGAGAAGTCAAGCTCAGAAGAGATGCTGAATGTTAATGCCTCATTATAGTCTGAGCTCAGTCAAGAGAAAATTAAGGGGAGCAAATTGAGACACTACTGGTGTCCTTGTTGCTGGATAGGGATTGCAGAGCAAAGAATAGCATAGAGAGAAATTAGGGACAGCTAATTGTCTCTTGTCAAGAACGCTGTATGTTAAAGCCCAGGAATAACCTTTGCTCTGACTCTTCTCCATTGCTTTTTCTGGAATCTGAAAGACCCATGGATGCAATGTTTGTCCCTGTCTTCACAGAGATGATTCTTTTCACTTGGTGTTTGAAAAAGCAAATCCAATCCATGCTCCTTTCCATTTCTGACCACTTTATGGGCTTTCTGGCTCATGTTGACCTTCCCTCCAAACCTTCTTTTTTCTTCCATGTCTACTTTTATCATTCCAGGTGAATTTCTTCAGTTACGTGGCACTCGCAACAGCAGCTCTTCCCACCCTGGAGAAGAATAAAGGCTCTCTGGTGGTTGTTTCTTCTCTCACAGGTTGGGGTCTTTAACTGATGTAAGTGCTGGCCTTGCAGAAACAATGGTTCCCAGCACATCATGTTTCTCTGTGTCCTTCAACCCCTCAAGACATTTTCAAGCTGTGCATTTTATAGTAGCAAGCAGGATGGTGGCTGGCTGTCCTTCTTGTTTTCTGGAAGACCTCCTCTGTGTTGCACTATTTTGCATTCCCTTGGAACTTTGCTCTTCACTCACCATGTGCCCAGAACTGCTTGTCTGGCTCCTGTCCCTCACAGCCAAGCCCATCTCTCCTGCATTCCTGACACAGCATTAACACCATCCTGCCACTCTAAGGCCTTCTAGCTTTGGCCAGCCTGGATAGCAGGCCCCTAAGTAGCTGCACCTACTGTACAGGATGGAAAGGCAAGAGAAAGTCTTCAGTGTGTGCTCAAGGGAGCTGCATCACCATACAGAAGTTCAGACTATGACTCATCCCTGCCTTGTGATGCAACATGCCTTGGTGTCAGGGAAATATCACAGCCAGATGTGCCAGCATGTGACCCAGTTCATATGTTTGCATGTGATGGGGGAGGGGAAGGCTGCAGGTACACCATCACACTGGGCTTTTTAGCCCAACATGTGACCTCGTTACCGTGTAAGTTAAAAGAAAATTCCTCCCCTTATCCACATATGTGGTGACTCTTGTGCTGGGATGTGCTCACACAAGGTGGTATAATTTTCTAAGTGCCTGCGTGTGACTAGAAATAGAGGGAAATTCACCTGGACAGAACATGGGTTGATGCAGGATGGCAAAGCCTCTTGTCTTTGTCCAGATTCCCTCTCCATGGCACCGTCCTCCTTACAGCCACTTTCCTGGTGTTTTCCATTCTCTCCTTTTCCTTTCCAGGGAAAATACCCACTCCCTTCACCACTTCTTATTCTGCCACCAAGTTTGCACTGGATGGATTCTTCAGCTCGCTACGCCATGAACTCATCATGCAGAAGAGAAACATCTCTATCACACTGTGCATCCTGGGCCTGATTGATACTGATACAGCATTAGAGAATACCAGGTGTGTATTTGGAGGTTGTAAGAGTCCGGGAGGGAGTGTGGCTGCAGGAACATGTCTCTCTTGAAAGCATGCAAAAAATGCACCACAACTGTGTTTAAGATGCTGTGGGTATGTTTGGATGTACAAGAAAACTAATGGGAAGACTGCATCTGCTTGGGTACATCATGGGGATTGTGCATGGCCACGTCAGCGTGGAACATGAGCATGCAGAACCCTGTGGTAGTCAGTCTGCGCAATTAAAACCACACCAAGGACTGACTGGCTTTGAGTTATCCTGTGACTATTTCCTTCCAGGGGCAAAGTGCACCTGACTGCTTCTCCTGCTCCTGAAGCTGCACACGCCATCATCTGGGGGGGTGCCACACGGGTGCAGGAGGTTTTCTACCCATGGTGGCTGCAGCACATGTGCTGCCTCTGGGTTTTGTTCCCCAATGACCGGGACCAGGTTTTACAGAGTTACTATAATTACAGCAGTCCTTAAGGGATGCCCAGTCTGTCTCGTCTTCCATCATAGATCGCTTCTACGCACATTTCCCCCATCCCACTAAGCATCCCATTCAACCATTGGTGTCAAGCAGGAGCAAGGCAGCAGTGGTGGCAAAGTAACCTTAGCTCTTTTCGTAAGACTCTTCTTGGCCTCCCTCTTATCCTGCTTCAGCCACAGTTCTGATATTTCTACCCGTCAGTCAGCGATCTTTCCCACTGTTCACTCTGTCTTAGCCTTCCACCCATCTCTCCTCCTTCAGCCTCATCTGACTGCTTTTACTGCTTTCAGTCTTCTCTCAGGTCCAGCTTTAACCTGTCTGTACAGGATGTCCTGGAATGTCTGCACATTCCTGGGACATCCTGCTCGACTGCTTCATTGTTCTGTGGATTCTGTGAACCTTCTTGCCTCCTATAAATAGAATTTTAATCTCTATTTTATTAAACTACTTTCTTTTTAATGTGGTGTTGGTGTTACATGTTGATGCTTCCTCTGTGAAGGAAGGCTGGGGACCTGGCTTCTGTGAGCACAGGCCTGTTTGTTGGTAGACATTTGCTGACTGCACAAGACCTGTTATATCAGCTCTTCCTTGCTGTAAATGCCAAGATGGGTTGACGATTCCTGCACTGAACAGGCAAAAGAATGTAGAAGGAATTCTTCCCTAACATTCTATTCCTATGGATGTGTCATGGCTTGTAAGTTCTAGCAGCTAGAAAAAGCAGTCTGTGCTTGAATCCCCCTGGGCTGGGGATGGATAAAAGATCCTATGTGGGCTCCCTGGTGTCTGAGAGGATGGTTATTTTGTGTGTTGTTCCCATCCACAGTGAATGAATCTTGAAGGAATTTTAAGTGGCTTTGAAAGCTGAATATTTTGTAGAAACTGATTAACAGGTTTGGAATTTATTGGAACAGCCAGGTATTGCTTAAAAAAACCAGGCTTCTCTAGGGGATATAGAACTACAATGGAGTGTGCATCACATCATCGGAACAGGCACCAGCTGAGTGTTTTCCTTCCTCTCTCCTTGCCATTGACTGGATTTTGACATGACAAAGCTTTCTACGGAGCTGTGTGGAAATAAGAACTCGCTGCACTTCACAAAGACTGGAGTTTGAACTCACCCCTTCTAAAACACACACCTGCTTGCTTCTCATGAAAATTTGCAGTATACACCTTGGCTCAGTCACTGCAGAATTGTGCTGGTGCAGGGGCAAGGAGGCATCAAAAATTGAGGTAGTCCTAGGTTTCATTCTCTGCTGATATTCTGCTTTTCTCCAGCACCATTAAATAGGGGTTTCAAAGCAGAAGAAAGTCCCAGGGAAACTGGTGCTTTTATAGAAGAGGAGGCTGAACCATGAGCATGGCAAATGGAGTTGGTTCTCTACCAACCCCAAGCATGTTCCTCACCTTCAGGACAGAGATGAGGAGTCTGGGCATTTTCCTGGTTCTGTGCATAGTGCCAGATGGGCTGGGCTCTGGCTTCGATTGAGTTCCATCAAGGTGCTGTTGAGAGAACCAGTTTTGTTCTCTCAGGTGTGAGGAGAGCACGCAGGAGTTCTTAAAAGATGTCTGGTATCCGCTCACAAGAGCTGTGACTGGTTTGTGTTTAGCTCTGCTGGAGCTTGGCTGCTGAACTCATTTGTTGCAACTGGGCTAATATTACAAAACTTGCATTTTGGGGATCATATGCTGAAGACTGGAATAAAAAAATCCACAGACAGCCTTCTTAGAGATACAGGGACACTGCATGGTGTTCAGAGTAAGGCAGGGATGTATTCTGTAGTACTCAGGCTCTGTCATCCATCCCCCTGCGAAATGCTTTTTAACTGACTGCACAGATGATTTGCTGAATGGATACAGGCTTTCCCTGCCCCAGGCCTTATGGTTATTGTCTTCAAGTGTAAGCATTATCTAAAAGCAGGTGCAACTAACACATGAAGTAAAACCCCAGTTACTTAGCAAGTAAAATTTTTATTAAATAATTATTTTTTTTTGACCAGAGTGAGGAATGTGACATTGACAAAGCTTGTACCGCACCTGTTAACTTGTACAGTCACATCAGTAACTGTAATGGAAGAAACTGTAAATGCTTGTTTTTAAACCAGCTTGACCTAGCATTTCCAAAGTCCTTTTTTTTTTTCCCAGTTTGCATTTGTTGGTCTTTTTTTTTTTTGTTTTGTTTAAAATTAGATTAAGTTTAAACTTCATGAAATTACTTGTAGCAGAAATAAAGTACATTATACAAATCACATACATAATAGATGTTAAGTATAAAAATGGTATTTACAATAAGTAAACATGGACTATAGAAACAGAGACTCGCACAGCTTCATCCATCTCATAAACTCTCAGCATCAGATACAGAGTGGTGGTTCAGGAGATGTGAAAGTACTTAAAGAACTGTGCCACAAACATCTTAACAAAGGGCAACTGGAGGAGGATGAGAATTGGCTGAGGATTTCTGAAGTCCCTGTATCTTGCTTCAGTATCAACTGCATCAACCTTTCTCCACCAACCCTCTGTTCATGTCTGAATGTGCGCACGCACACACGCGTAGAGGAATGTTCTTGGTACCCCATCAAACTCTGGAATATTGAAACTAATCAGTCAGAAGGTTTGTGGGGTTGATTGGTTTGTTTTATTTTTCTTTCCTTATTTTGGTAGAAACTTGAAGAGACTGGGATATACCTTGTCAGTATGATACTCCCACTCCCAGGGGATCTTTGTTAAATCAAGTTCTGAAATATGTTCTGTGCTTAAGTGTATGTGTATATAGCTGTATCTATATATGCTGCATAATGTATCATCCGTCCCTTGGAGAGGGTGGTGGGGAAAAAAACAGAGTGGCAACTCACTTTCATCATACTATCCTTATGTTTGCTTGGGTAAGCTTTGCAGAGGGTATAAGAGGCGAGTCCTCTTGCTAAATTCAGATGGAGAAAATGTCCTTTTTCATCTGGGAATTGGAACTGCCTGCTAACCTTTGTTAGGTTAATTCCAACACGTGGAGCCAGTGTGTAGCCCCTAGGAGGCTTCTGACACTGTTTCGGAGACTGCATCTGCTCACACTCTCATCTTCTCTTGCCTTGATCAAGAAAATGCTCCATTATGATGGAGAGCTATGAAACATGGATCTGTGCCACATGTGGGGAGGCAGTATAGTTCCTGTAGGTAAAGGGACTGCTTTCCTGTGCTTTCAGCCTAATCGAGGAGTGCTCAGGATAGGCTTTGGCACCAAATTCCAGGAGCTTTGTCTGCAGAAGCCCTTGGAAAGGTAAGACTGAGAGCTCTTGAGATCCTTAACCAGGCTGGTGCTAAAGTTGGTGGATGAGTGACTCGAGCTGAGCAGCTGGCTGTGCCCTAATCCTGGAGGTATGTAGTTCTCTTTCTCCTTGCTTCTTGCTAATGTTGATCAGAGGGATGTGTGCTTTCTCTCTCTTTCTCTCTCTCTTGCTCTCTTGTCCATCCAAGCATCCGCTCAAAATGTTCAGGCCTATCTGCAGTGCTTGCTGAGAAGACACTGTTGCAAAAGTAAACCCTTAACTTCCAATCCCTCTTGCAAGGAGTCAGTCTCTGAATGGAAAAGTTTGGTCCTGTGAGCCACTTTAAAAAAAAATAGAGACTGTATATAT